CAGCAAAGCAGGACCTGAGTTCACTTATGTCAGTGTTTGCCTCCTTGAATTTGGGAATCGGGTGCAGAAAAGGGGCTCTGAGTGACTGACTTTCTCATGAGTCTCAGGCAGAAGCAGGAGATATTCATGAATTTCTGTTTTCCTTCCTCCCTCTCCCTCTGACCCTTCAGATTTATGAGGAATCCAAGATGAATTTGGAGCAGGAGAGGCCGTTTGTCTGCAGTGCCCCAGGCTGCTCCCAGGTGAGTGTGCAGATCCTCAGTGCTCCCTCTGGCTTGCAGCAAATGCACCTGCCCTCCGACAGAAAAGCTCCCACTGGGCGACCATGCCTGCCCTGAGCTTCCTTCTTTACCAAGATACTGTCAAAGTCTGCCTCTCCTCCTCATCCTCATCATCTTCACCCTCACTATATTCCTCTTCGAATAGTTTGAAATACTCCTCTCTTACCTCTGAAGTACAGTGGTGTTGAACATTTCTGCCCATTACATCCCCCTAGAGGTGAACCAGATGCATCCTGCCCATTAGATATGAAGGGCTGTCATTTCAGAAAGGGAGCCACTTGAATACTATCTGGGCCTCTGGATGACTGGTGAAATGCCTTACTATCATAGCTTAAATTCTGTTTTGTTTTATTACCCCCCCTTTGAGTCAAAGAAACCCTCTATAACTTTACTTTTTAGCACCTATGGTTTCCCTATGTATCTAAATCTCAAGAAGGAAAGATTCCTGCTGTACTGGGTGGAATCTCTCGGCTTCTGAGGACTCTTTATCAAGTAGAAATGGTGTGGGGATCCGATGAGATGCTACCTGGGGATTATCATGGGACCTGTATACAATAAGTACTCAGTTAACACCCTGTCTCCTTATCACGACTGCTGCTAGGATTATTATACTGCAACCTGCCTTTTTGAAAGAAATTAGAAATGTCCATCACCTAAGGTCAGAGTTTTCCGTTTCTCTTTGGAACTTGGTAGTGACTTTTCCTACTTTTGACCCTTTGCATAGCTCCCAGTTCTAATCATTTCCATTTGTGGGAAATGATCACACCTGCTTGCTTTCCTGCTGAGATCTTCATTTTATGGGATATAACACAAGTTTAGAACTCAAAGCATAGGCATCTTCCTAGTGTGGTAATTAGTCACACCCTTTCCCTAAACTGGACCCAAGCTGCTCTCCCTGCCTATCTGGTTGGTGGGGTTGGCAGTACTGGGCAGAGCAGTGCCTAGGAGAACTGTTGAGGACCATTGTAATTTATGTCCCCAGGGAATATGTGGAGATTTTGGGGAGGCTTCCAGAGGGAAGAAGCCAGAGAAACACAAAGATGTTTCTGGTGTTATGAGTTGGTGTTGTCAGCTGTGAACTGAGCGA